TAGTAAAGCTGAGCGCTGGGCCCGGCCATTTTAGCCTATTTGGAGGTTCATGTTACTTATGAAGCAATTTCTACTATACTTCTAACTGTACGTAAAACCATATTAGGGCACTTAAGAGCCTGATGAGTGGGTTATAACCCCTTAATCCCAAACCCTAAACCCTAGACCCTAAACCCTAAACCCTAAACCCTAAACCCTAAACCCTAAACCCTAAACCCCAAACCCTAAACCCTAAACACCAATGGATTTCTTACGTTGTAAGCAGAGGGGGCCTGGCAGCAGCCGCGTCACATGCACCACCACGGCATCCAGGCGTGCCCCGTGGTAGCAGAGGCTGGCCCGGTGCCTTCTCACTCTTGGGAGCCCTGGGTTTAGGGTTTAGGGTTTAGGGTTTAGGGTTTAGGGTTTAGGGTTTAGGGTTTAGGGTTTAGGGTTTAGGGTTTAGGGTTTAGGGTTTAGGTTTAGGGGTTAGGGTTTAGGGTTTAGGGTTTTGGGTTTAGGGTTTAGGGTTTAGGGTTTAGGGTTTAGGGTTTAGGGTTTAGGGTTTAGGGCCCTTGCGAGAAACAGTGCCAAAAGAACACGATAATTCATCAAAACGAGCCAAGCTCTAAATTAGGCCCCCTTTAGGGGTCCCATATACAAAACGGCACAGAATCTGCTTTAGAGAACCACCCTAAACCCTAAACCCTAAACTCTACAGCCTAAACCCTAAACCCTAACCCTAAACCCTAAACCCACAGTGTAGGGCTCACAAACCCACCATCATCTTCGAAGACCAGGTGCAGGGTCCCTGGGATGAGACGAATGCCGCCCTTGGGGTTCTCCAGCCCCAGGCGCTCTGCGAAGGCTACGAGGTCCTGTTTGGATTAGGGTTTTAGGGCTTAGGGCTTAGGGCTTAGGGCCCTTAGGGAGCTTAAGGCTTAGGGCGTGTGGCTTGGGGCTTAGGGCTAAGGGCTTAGGGTCTAGGGGTTTGGGGTTTGGGGTTTTGGGTTTTGGGGTTTGGGGTTTGGGGTTTGGGGTGGCACCCTACGTGGAGGCTCGTGGACACTAAGCAACCTCAAAAAGCATAGGTTTGCGGACTCCAGTGTGGGTGATAACGATCACAATTGGGTTCTGAATACCCTGCGTTACTGTTATATCGTACACTCATCAACATGTAAGGAACCCCATATGCCTCCACCAATAACAATTATACAAAGATAAGCCTACCTCATGTGAGGGCCATATCGGGATCCATGTCCCGCACGGACTGAACAAACTTCTTCGAAATTCATCCCACTGTACGGCTTGTGGGCTACGGGGCTAAACACCCCCTAACCGTACCCTAAACCCTAAACCCTAAACCCTAAACCCTAAACCCTAAACCCTAAACCCTAAACCCTAACCCTAAACCCTAAACCCTGCCATGTCATCGTCCTCCTGTAGGAGGGGCACCTGCGGAAGGTGGGAAGAGGGCAGCCAGCGCGTGGCCAGGGCCACTTGCAGGGGCAGCCCGCCCTTCAAAATCAGCCGCTGCGCCTCGTCTTGTAGCCCAGGAGGAATCTTAGAATCAAGGGTTTAGGGTTTAGGGTTTAGGGTTCAGGGTTTAGGGTTTTAGGGTTTAGGGTTTAGGGTTTAGGGTGGTGACTTCACAAGGGAACCTTGAACCCAAAAAAGGGTCAAGGGCACCACTGGGCTACGAAGGCCTTCCACCGGTGCAGCAGCCTGGCGCAGGCAGGCACGCCCGCGGTTTCGAAGAGCTTGGCCGGCAGCTTCGACAGCAAGCCTCAGTAGCCCTAAGCCCTAAACCCTAAACTCTAAACCCTAAACCCAAAGCCCTAAGCCCTAAGGCCCTAAACAAACCCACCCCTAGACCAGCCGTGATGTCTGAGACTCCTAGGCCTCCCCCAACATTTCTCGCAAGCCCCGAAAACAAAAGACCCACACGAAATGTAGGACATCTTAGGGACAGACACCCTCCTACCCTGGACTACTGTAATCATGGACCCAAACCGGGAGTCTACACTATACATATATATATAGGTGGCGTTTGCGGGACATTAAATAGCAAGGACCCCATATATGGACCCTACACCTCTTCATATTTCGTGGAGTCCCCCAGGAAACAACCCTTGCGGCCACTGGAGCTGTGGAGGTCGCAGACGCAGGGCTGGAGTGGCTCGGGTGGCGATGGCTTCACGTGCGGCGCCTGTTCCTTTGTTGAGATGGGTGGGGGCTGGGGTTTAGGGTTTAGGGTTCAGGGTTTAGGGTTTAAGGTTTATAGGGTTCAGGGTTTACAGGGGTTCGGGTTTACAGGCTTTAGGGTTTAGTGGTTAGGGTTTAGAGGTCCTGAAATAGGCAGAGGGCCCTGAGAAGGGATGCTCGTGCAGGACAAAAACCACTTCAATGAAGATGCTCATGCACCCTACGCGACTGTACTTTCTAGGGGTTAGGGCTTAGGGCTTAGGGCCAGAAAGCTCGCCCATTGGGAATCTGAACCATAAGTCCCCAAAACCCTGCCTACATTGCAGTTGGCTCCGACACCCTAGCCCCACCTTCAAGCCCTGACAGCCCCTGACAGCCCCTGACAGCCCCTGACAGCCCCTGAAAGCCCCTGAAAGCCCCAAAACCCCAAACCAGAAGCCCTAAACCCTCGACCCTAGCCACCAAAAAACCCTAAAAAAACCCAAAAACCTAGACAAAGGGGTCGAAGAGTGTTCCCTTATGGTCCATATTCCCTTATGGTCCATATATTGCCAGAATAACCCTAAACCCTAAACCCTAAACCCTGAACCCTGAACCCTAAACCCTGAACCCTAAACCTTACTTTACCTTTCACCTTCGGATTCCAGGCGTCGGGCTTGAGCCGCGCACGCTCGAGGGATGCTTTCGCCACCCGAGCCCCGGAGTCGGCCTCCAGGGAGAAGGGTTCCCCAAACCCTAAACCCTAAACCCTAAACCCTAAACCCTAAACCCTAAACCCTAAACCCTAAACCCTAAACCCTAAACCCTAAACCCTAAACCCTAAACCCTAAACCCTAAACCCTAAACCCTATAAACCCTAAACCCTAAACCCTAAACCCTAAAGCCTAAACCCTATACACCCTAAACCCTAAACCCCTCAACCCTGAGCTCTGCAGGGTTTGGGGAGCCTGGGGTTCTTTTGCACCTGGCTCCCCGAGAAGGAAGGAATTGGGCGCCCTGAACATCCCAAACCCTACGGCACAACCCTAAGCCCTCAACCCTAAACCCCAAACATCAAACCCTAAACCCTAAACCCTAAGCCCTAAACCCTAAACCCTAAACCCCAGAGGCCCCACCTGCGCCCCAGTCTCGCCAGCGCCGACGCGCTCTCGCGCCGAATCGGCCGACGCGCCTCGCGAGGTTGGCCCTCCAAGGCCCGGTTTAGGTCTGTTTTTTAGGGTTTAGGGTTTAGGGTTTAGGGTTTAGGGTTTAGGGTTAAGGGTTTAGGGTTTAGGGTTTAGGGTTTAGGGTTTAGGGTTTAGGGTTTAGGGTTTAGGGTTTAGGGTTTAGGGGTTAGGGTTTAGGGTTTAGGGTTTAGGGTTTAGGGTTTAGGGTTCAGCAGCTCTGGGTCGAGCAATCTCTAGTAGAGCCGCTGTCTGGACTCTAGAAAAAAACCCACCCACCCAGAGAATCCCAAAACATGAAGAAATAAAAAGTTCACATTTTTCCTCAGCAAGCCCTGTCCTCCAACCTCATTTATTCATTCTGCTCGTGTTCTTTGTCATTCTGCTTGGTTTCCATTCTGCTCGTATGCGTTTCTTTCTGCTCGTATTCATTCTGCTCGTATTCGTTCTTTTTCTGATCTGCTCGTCTCGTGTTCGTTCTCGCTCTGCTCGTATTCATTCTGCTCGTATTCGTTCTCTCTCTGCTCGACTTCAGTCCGCTCGTTTTCGCTGTTTTTCTGCTCGTACTGAGTCTGCTCGTACTCATTCTCTTTCTGCTCGTATTCATTCTGCTCGTATTCGTTCTCTCTCTGCTCGATGTCAGTCTGCTCGTATTCGTTCTCTTTCTGCTCATATTCACTTTGCTCGTGTTCGTTTTCCCCGGTGACCCTGCCTATTTTTGGCCGTCTTGTTGGTTGTGTTCGGAAGCTGCCTGGCTTCCACATGGTTGCTTTCCAAGTAGTGCCCCGGTGACCTCGCCTCATGTTGGCTCCTGCTCGTAGGGTTTGATGAGAGGCCTAGAGGTTTGTCGTATGTCCCCTCTCTTCGTGCTCGTAGGGTTTGTCGTATGTCCCTCCCTTCATGCTCGTAGGGTTTGATGAGAGGTCTACAGGTTTGTCGCACGTCCCCTCCCTTCGTGCTCTTAGATTTTGTCGTATGTCGCCTCCCTTCGTGCTCGTCGGCCTTGTCGTATGTCCCTCTTCGTCTGCTTGCAGAGAATCCCAAGAATTAAGAAACTGAGGTTTTATTTTCAGAGGTTTGTCGTATGTCCCCTCCCTTCGTGCTCGTCGGCTTTGTCGTATGTCCCTTTTCTTCTGCTTGCAGAGAATCCCAAAACATTGAGAAATGTACGGGTTTATTTAGAGGTTTGTCGTATGTCCCCTCCCTTCGTGCTCGCAGGGTTTGACGAGAGGTCTACAGGTTTGTCGTACGCCCTCTTCCTTCGTGCTCTTAGGGTTTGTCGTATGCCTCCCTTCGTGCTCGTAGGGTTTGTCGTATGTCCCCTCCCTTCGTGCTCGTATGGTTTGATGAAAGGTCTACAGATTCGTCGCATGTCCCTTCCCTTCGCGCTCTTAAGGTTTGATGTATGTCCCCTCCCTTCGTGCTCGTCGCATGTCCCTTGTCTTCGCGCTTGCTTTCCCCAGACCGAAGGTAGAACCAAAAGTGTTGGTCCGGATTGACAAAAAAAAACCTAATTTTGTTAACCTCATGTTTTGTTTTCCCCCACCCCACCCAAGAACCATTCCAGTTCGAGCCAATCCCCAACCCACCCCAGAACCAACTACCCGTATTCGTTCTCTCTCTGCTCGTATTTCTCTGCTCGTCTTCGTTCTGCTTGCGTTCGTTCTCGGGGTGGGGGGGGGGTGGGGTGGGGGGTGGGGGGGGTGTGGGTGTGGGGTTGAGGGTGGGGTGGGGGGTGGGGGGGGGGGTGGGGGGAGGGGGGGGAAAACGTGGGTGGCCATTGGCAAAAAAAGCCGTGGCCATTGGCAAAAAAAACGTGGCCATTGGCAAAAAAGCCGTGGCCATTGGCAAAAAAGCCGTGGTCATTGGCAACTTTCCCGTGGCCATTGGCAAATGCCACTTGCCAATGGCCACGGCTTTTTTGCCAATGGCCCCGGCCCCCATTAAGGTTCCCAACCTTAATGGGGAACGTGGCCATTGGCAAAAAAGCCGAAGGCATTGGCAAAAAGCCCTAAAAGTTGCCAATGGCCACGGCTTTTTTGCCAATGGCCACGGCTTTTTTGCCAATGGCCACCGTTTTTTTGCCAATGGCCACGGTTTTTTTGCCAATGGCCACGTTCCCCATTAAGGTTTAAACTATTATATGATAGAGAGAGTTTAGGGTTTAGGGTTTAGGGGTTAGGGGTTAGGGGTTTAGGGTTTGGGGTTTAGAGTTTAGGGTTTAGGGTTTGAGGGTTTAGGGTTTGGGGGTGTATGGGGTGTATGGGGTGTATGGGGTGTATATGGGTTGTATGGGGTGTATGGGGTCTATTGGGTGTATGGGGTGTATGGGGTGTATGGGGTGTATGGGGTGTATGGGGTGTATGGGGTGTATGGGGTGTATGGGGTGGTGTGTATGGGGTGTATGGGTATGGGGTGCATGGGGTGCATGGGGTGCATGGGGGTCAGGGGCTTAGGAGGTTGAGAATAGAGGTTGCGAAAATGATCGGCTTGTAGCTCAGCATTTAGGACATTTGTGGCCTCTTTCCAAGTGCGTCTCCTTCTTGCGAGAACGAGAAGAGTAGATGCATGGGGGGTGCTTTATGTCAGGCCACTTTTACTAGCATGCTTGCAAGAAAGCCCAGACGTACGTATGAGAAGAGAGGTGCGAGCGGACCTATGAATCTACGAAGCGGTCCTCGTCTAGGACAACTTCCATGTAGCAGCTGTAGCGCACAAACACCCCTAACTGCCCCTAACCCTAAACTCTAAACCCTAAATCCTGACGTGCTGCATGCAAGCAATGTCAATGCATCCCTTTGAAACTCGGCTCCGCAAAAATCCTGAAGTAATTGCGGTCTCAGCCAGGGCTTGGGGCTTTAGGATGTTCAGGGTGAGTTTTTGGGGTTTACGATGTTGATAGGGCTTAGGATGTTAACAGGGTTTAGGATGTTCATAGGGTTTAGAATGTTTAGGGTTTAGGATGCTTAGGGTCTAGGGCTTTAGGATGTTCAGGGATGCTTCCATACTCCCCCTTGCAAGCCTCAATAGAATAATATTGTTGATATTCCTTTATATAAATGCAGATGAAAAGTAATCTCTAAACAGGGCTAATGTAGGGGCCTGAGTAATTAGAATAGGGTTTTGGGGGGTACTATACGATAATTACAAAGGGACCATAAGGGAATATGATTAGGAATTATTCCGACCCCTAGATTACAGGTAAAGGGTTTAGGGTTTAGGGTTTAGGCTTTTAGGGTTTAGGCTTTAGGGTTTGTTTTTTAGGGTTTGTTTGTTAGGGTTTAGGGTTTAGGGTTTAGGGTTTAGGGTTTAGGGTTTAGGGTTTAGGGTTTAGGGTTTAGGGTTTAGGGTTTAGGGTTTAGGGTTTAGGGTTTAGGGTTTAGGGTTTAGGGTTTAGGGTTTAGGGTTTATGGTTTATGGTTTAGGGTTTAGGGTTTAGGGTTTATGGTTTAGGGTTTAGGGTTTAGGGTTTAGGGTTTAGGGTTTAGGGTTTAGGGTTTAGGGTTTAGGGTTTAGGGTTTAGGGTTTAGGGTTTAGGGTTTAGGGTTTAGGGTTTAGGGTTTAGGGTTTAGGGTTTAGGGTTTAGGGCTGCTGGGGCATGCGCCTGCACCTCTCAGCGCTGGCGTGGTGGACTTGGCTGCAGGATCTGGTGGGGCCTGGAGCTGGTAGGAGGGTCTACAAAATTAAGGTTTAGGGATTACCATCTCAGGGTTTAGGGTTTAGGGTTTAGGGTTTAGGGTTTAGGGTTTAGGGTTTAGGGTTTAGGGTTTAGGGTTTAGGGTTTAGGGTTTAGGGTTTATGGTTTTTGGGTTTTAGGGTTTAGGGTTTAGGGTTTAGGGTTTAGGGTTTAGGGTTTAGGGTTTAGGGTTTAGGGTTTAGGGTTTAGGGTTTAGGGTTTAGCTTTTAGGGCCTTTAGGGCTTGGGGCTTAGGGTTTACCATTTTGGGGTCCTTTATTTTAGGGGATATTGCTATTTGGGGGTCTATATTAAGGGCCCCTATTTGACTAAACCTCCATATGAGGCTATCGTAAACGACAAGCTCTGTAACCCTTAGCACACAACCCTGAAACCCTTCATACCCCTAAGCCCTTACACCCTCAATACCCCATCACCCCTTAAACCCTCAATAAACCCTTCATAAACCCTTCAGAAACCCTTAACCTCCATAAACCCCTGAACCCTTAAACCCTACAGATCGGGTTGCACTTGGGGCCTTACTTCAGTGACCGGCGTGCTGGCTCACCCCGCACCTTTCTCCAACACACAAATATTCACTACCATGCAAACCCTAAACCCTAAACCCTAGACCCCTAGACCCCTAGACCCCTAGACCCCCTAGACCCCGAGACCCCGAGACCCCGAGGGGGTCCCGTTTTGGGGGGGCCCGTAAACCCCAAAACCTTAAACCCTTATAGGGGCTGATCATGGAATGCAACCCCTACGGAAGGGAACAAGGGGCCCACTCTTTGCCGTACACCCTAAACCCGAAAACCCTAATCCTGAACCCTAAAACGTTTGGGGTTTGGGGCTGTCGTGTCGGGGATCGGGATTCAGCCCTAAACCCTCAACCCTGAACTCCGCAAGCCCACCTAAGTAGAATTATAAGTACCCTAGCTAAGGCTACAACCATAGTTATCCTACTTAGAAACCCTACTTTCAAGTACCCACGAACCTCCAAGTAGCTAAACCCTAAACCCTAAACCCCAGAACCACAAGAAGGGTAAAGGGTACCCCTGGGCTACCCAGGCCCTCGACCCTCAACGCGCATCGCAACACGCAGCGGGGAGCAAACCCCCGACCGAGCTCCGCGCTGGCCGCGGGAGGCATCTCTCCTTCGGGTGTGGGGGTTAAGGATTCTAGGGTTTGTAGGGTTTGTAGGGTTTTGAGGGCTTTTTGGGTCTTTTTAAGATTTTTCGGGTTTTTCAGGGTTTGTAGGGTTTGCAGGGTTTTTTGTTAGGGTTTACTGTAGGGGTCTTTAAACATGCTTAGAGACTCAAGGGATTAAAGGAGTCAAGTAGGGTTTAGGGCGAGGCGCTCCTGCTGACCTTTCGGCTTTGCCATCTGGGCCGAAGGGCTTGCAGGAGGTGCGGCCGGCTCTGGTGATCGCGGCTGGGCGAGGTAGCTGGACTTCCCAAAGCCTTCCGGCGGAAGCTTGGGGACAGGTGCGGCAGGCTGAGCATCCCCGATACGAGGAACACTTTGTGCGCCGGCCGCGCCCGGCGGAGGCTGCAGGCGCGCGTTGGGAACGCCGACCTTGGGAGGCCCAGAAGGCCCAGGAGGCCCAGAAGGGGCGGAGCAGGAGTCGCCCGGACCATCGCGTGCTGGCCCGCGGTCTGGGACACTGGCAGGAGGCTTCACCGGAGGGGCCTTGTAGGGAAGCGGCCTGGCTTCCGTCACTTCGGTCACTTCGGATTCCGCCTTCCCTCTTGAGGGATCCACGGAGGAGTCGACTTGCGCTGCTGGCGCCTCCTTCTTCGTCCAGCGGCCCGATGGAACCACCGGTGCCTGAGTGGCGCTGCCACAGGAACGCCCGTCAGCACTTTGCTTGTAGGGAAGCACCGGGGTGAAGCTCACCATGTCGGAAGACCTCGTGAAAAGCTCGGGCCTGGACTTCACCAGCTCCGCCACCTTCGTAGCCCAGTAGCCATATCAAACTGAGGGTTTAGGGTTTAGGGTTTAGGGTTTAGGGTTTAGGGTTTAGGGTTTAGGGCTTAGGGCTTAGGGCTTAGGGCTTAGGGTTACTTTAGAAGGGAACCCAGAACCAAACACAAAGGGTAAAGGGCAATTGCCACTCGGCCACCAAGCCACTGTGAACTCCTTGAACCCTAAACCCTAAACCCTAAACCCTAAACCCCAAACCCTAAACCCTAAACCCTAAACCCCAAACCCTAAACCCTAAACCCAAAGCCCTAAACCAAGCCACTGAGAACTCCTCGAACTTGGCGTCCAGGTCCGCCAGGGCCATCTGGCCCGAGCCCGCCGCAAGCGCCTCGGCGAGAAGCTTCTCGTGGGCCCCGGGACCTGCGGAATCGTTTAGGGCTGAGGGTTTAGGGTTTAGGGTTTAGGGTTTAGGGTTTAGGGTTTAGGGTTTAGGGTTTAGGGTTTAGGGTTTAGGGTTTAGGGTTTAGGGTTTGGGGCTTTTGGGGCTTTTCCCTGAGAGCATGGGCTATTCTACCCTGTAACCCAAAAAGGTGGCCCTTTGTTTGGGTTGAGTAATTAGGGGGATGATAGGGCCAAAAAAATCCCATCCTGGTGAGAGCAAGGCCATCCGCATGCTCGGATGGCAGCCCCGCTTGCCACGGTACTGCACAGCTGTGCCGTCGCAAGCCTTGGTAGCCCAGTAGCCACATTACAATAAGGGCAGCCCTTTTTGGGGGCTGATTCCTTTATAAGGGAACACCCTAAACCCTAAGCCCTAAACCCTAAACCACTGGGCCACCAGGAAGCCGTGGTGAACCTGCGCCGAAACCAGCTGGATAGATGCACGTCCAATCGCAGCTGCCGGACGCGCACCCTCACTGCTTCGCCGGTGACCTTGGGGGGTCAACCCTGCGAGGGATCGTGCTCAGAGGGGTTTAGGGTTTAGGGTTTAGGGTTTAGGGTTTAGGGTTTAGGGTTTAGGGTTTAGGGTTTAGGGTTTAGGGTTTAGGGTTTAGGGTTTAGGGTTTAGGGTTTAGGGTTTAGGGTTTGGGGTTTGGAAGTTTAGGGTTTAGGGTTTAGGGTTTAGGGTTTAGGGTTTAGGGTTTAGGGTTTAGGGTTTAGGGTTTAGGGCTTCTAGAACCCAAATTGTGCCCCTCACTCACCTCTTCCAAGAGACTCTGGACAGCTCCCGGAGGACCCAGAGGCGGCGATTGCCCGTAACGGCGTACCAGCGGCTGCCCTGCGACCACACGGAGAAGGACGGCAGCTGGGACGGATGCAATTTCCTTGGCTACGGAAATGGACCTTTCTAAAGGGGTTGAGGGTTTAGGGTTTAGGGTTTAGGGTTTAGGGTTTAAGGTTTAGGGTTTGGGGTTTAGAGCCCAGGGCCCAAGTTACCATGTTTAAACAAACCAAACAAGGCTTGTTGAGAACTCACCAAGAGGGATCCCTAAACCCTAAACCCTAAACCCTAAACCCTAAACCCTAAACCCTAAACCCTAAACCCTAAACCCTAAACCCTAAACCCTAAACCCTAAACCCTAAACCCTAAACCGCTCCCCGAGGATCCCCTCCACCAAGTCTTTCAAGGTATCCACCAGCAGCTTGCCGTTCCGGAATCGAACCTCGCAAGCTCACAAAAGGGGCGGGCGCAGACTCTCTCCCATATGCAGAACCGTTTATAATACCAAAATTCAAGAAACAACATATACATATATATATATGTGAGAGAGCCCTCTCGGGTCTATTTTGCGTGCCGCCTTGCCTTTAAGGAAAGGAATTAATTTAAATAATTTAATTAATTTAATTAATTTAATTCCTCAAGAGCCTGGCTCCAGCTCCAGATTTTCCCCCTATTAAATTAATTTAATTAATTTAATTAATTTAATTAATTTAATTCTAGACAATTAAAATAATTAAATTAATTAAATCCGAAAAACCACTTTTCGGATTTAATTAATTTAATTAATTTAATTCTGGACAATTAAATTAAATTAATTAAATTAATTAAATCCGAAAAACCACTTTTCGGATTTAATTAATGTAATTAATTTAATTCTTCAAGGGCCTGGCTCCAGCTCCAGATTTTCACCCTATTAAATTCATTTAATTAATTTAATTAATTTAATTAATTTAATTAATTTAATTAACTTAATTCTGGACAATTAAATGAATTAAATGAATTAAATTAATTAAATGAATTTAATAGGGCAGGAATCCTGGCGTAGAACCATTCCCCTGGAAGAATTAAATTAATTAAATTAATTAAATCCGAAAAACCACTTTTCGGATTTAATTAGTTTAATTAATTTAATTCTTCAAGGGCCTGGCTCCAGCTCCAGATTTTCACCCTATTAAATTAATTTAGTTAATTTAGTTAATTTAATTAATTTAATTAATTTAATTAATTTAATTAATTTAATTAATTTAATTAATTTAATTAATTTGATTCTGGACAATTAATTAATTAAATTAATTAAATCCGAAAAACCACTTTTCGGATTTAATTAATTTAATTAATTTAATTCTGGACAATTAAATTAATTAAATTAATTAAATTAATTACATTAATTTAATAGGGCAGGAATCCTGGCGTAGAACCATTCCCCTGGAAGAATTAAATTAATTAAATCCGAAAAACCACTTTTCGGATTTAATTAATTTAATTAATTTAATTCTTCAAGGGCCTGGCTCCAGCTCCAGATTTTCACCCTATTAAATTAATTTAATTAATTTAATTACTTTAATTAATTTAGTTAATTTAATTAATTTAATTAATTTAATTCTGGACAATTAGGACAATTAAATTAATTAAATTAATTAAATTAATTAAATTAATTAAATTAATTAAATTAATTAAATTAATTAAATTAATTAAATTAATTAAATTAATTAAATTAATTTACTAGGGCAGGAATCCTGGCGTAGAACCATTCCCCTGGAAGAATTAAATTAATTAAATTAATTAAATCCGAAAAACCACTTTTCGGATTTAATTAATTTAATTAATTTAATTCTTCAAGGGCCTTGCTCCAGCTCCAGATTTTCCCCCTATTAAATTAATTTAATTAATTTAATTAATTTAATTAATTTAATTAATTTAATTAATTTAATTAATTAAATTCTGGACAATTAAATTAATTAAATTAATTAAATCCGAAAAACCACTTTTCGGATTTAATTAATGTAATTAAAATAATTCTGGACAATTAAATTAATTAAATTAATTAAATTAATTAAATTAATTAAATTAATTTAATTAATTAAATTAATTAAATTAATTAAATTAATTAAATTAATTTAATAGGACAGGAATCCTGGCGTAGAACCATTCCCCTGGAAGAATTAAATTAATTAAATTAATTAAATCCGAAAAACCACTTTTCGGATTTAATTAATTTAATTAATTTAATTCTGGACAATTAAATTATTTAAATTAATTAAATTAATTAAATTAATTAAACTAATTAAATTAATTAAATTAATTTAATAGGGCAGGAATCCTGGCGTAGAACCATTCCCCTGGAAGAATTAAATTAATTAAATTAATTAAATCCGAAAAACCACTTTTCGGATTTAATTAATTTAATTAATTTAATTCTTCAAGGGCCTGGCTCCAGCTCCAGATTTTCCCCCTATTAAATTAATGTAATTAATTTAATTAATTTAATTAATTTAATTCTGGACAATTAAATTAATTAAATCCGAAAAACCACTTTTCGGATTTATTTAATTTAAGTAAATTAATTCTGGACAATTAAATTAATTAAATTTATTTAATATAGTAGGAATCCTTGCGTAGAACCATTCCTCCGGAAGAATTTAATTTAATTAATGAAATTAATTTGTTTCTGTACCATTAAAGTAATTCCACAAACTTAAGAGGGACACTGCTTGCGATTTGTCATTGTGGAAGCTCAGTTTTCCAAAAACTTAGGGGGGACACTGCTTGCGATTTGTCATTTTAAGCACTCCGCTTTCCAAAAACTTATGAGGGACACTGCTTGCGATTTGTCATTTTGATAGCTTAGTTTTCCACAAACTTCAGGGGGACACTGCTTGCGATTTGTCATTGTGGAAGCTCAGTTTTCCAAAAACTTAGGGGGGACACTGCTTGCGATTTGTCATTTTAAGCACTCCGCTTTCCAAAAACTTATGAGGGACACTGCTTGCGATTTGTCATTTTGATAGCTTAGTTTTCCACAAACTTCAGGGGGACACTGCTTGCGATTTGTCATTGTGGAAGCATAGTTTTATAAAAAAACTGAGGGGGGACACTGCTTGCGATTTGTCATTTTAAGCACTCCGCTTTCCAAAAACTTATGAGGGACACTGCTTGCGATTTGTCATTTTGATAGCTTAGTTTTCCACACACTTCAGGGGGACACTGCTTGCGATTTGTCATTGTGGAAGCTTAGTTTTCTAAAAAAACTCAGGGGGGACACTGCTTGTGATTTGTCATTTTGAGCGTTTTTTTTTTTTTAAACTCGCAGTGTTTTTTTTGCTAGCCCGACACAAAAAGTCACCTGTTTCGGGCTGCCCAGCCCCAAGCACCTGAAAAAAGGTCACTTTTGTGCCGCGCCTCTTTCCCGCAAGAAAAGGTTTAGAGTTTAGGGTTTAGGGCTTAGCGCTCAGGGCTTGGGGCTTAGGGTTTAGGGTTTAAGGTTTGGGGTTTAGGGTTTAGATCTAGGGTTTGAGGTTCAGGGTTTAAAGTTTAGAGTTCAGGGTTTAAGGCTTAGGCTTTAGGGTTAGGGTGCAGGGTTTAAGGTTTCAGGGTTAGGGTTTAGGGTCTAGAGTTTTCCCCATATCCTCATATATTCATATATACATAATATATTATATAACCCTAAACCATAATTGTTCAACATTGCGTTTGACCGCCTCGTCAGATTTTGTCCAGCAGGGGCATGCCTCGTGCCTGCCACTGCTGTCGTTTCGCGTCGTTTGCGTGTACACTATAAGTTTCGGGCTTAATTATGAACCCTTTCCGGTTCGATTTTCTACGGTTCGTGTCCCGTACGGTTCGCTCCGAGTTCGGTTCTTACACGGTTCGGTTCCTACGGTTCCGGTTTGCCGGTTCACGGCTCGGTTTTATGGTCATCCTGCTATTTTAATTCTGTACAATTAATTGAATTAATTGATTCTTTTTGTTATCTTCTATCATCTTTTAATCGGGTCATCGTTTGGACCTTGTTTGGAAAGCATCCTTATCCTAATCATCTTCTATCGTTATCATCTTTTGCTATTTTTTTGTAATCTTTTATTATATTTTTTTATCATCTTCTATTATCTTTTAATCGGGTCATCATTTGGACCTTGTTTGGAAAGCATGCTTATCTTAATCATCTTCTATCGTTATCATCCTTTATCATCTTTTATCATCTTTTTTTATCATCTTTTATCATCTTTTAATCGGGTCATCGTTTGGACCTTGTTTGGAAAGCATCCTTATCTTAATCATCTTCTATCGTTATCATCTTTTATCATCTTTTATCATCTTTTATCATCTTTTATCATCTTTTATCATCTTTTATCATCTTTTATCATCTTTTAATCGGGTCATCCTTTGGACTTTGTTTGGACAGCACCCATATCTTAATCATCTTCTATGGTTATCGTCTGCTATTATCTTTATTATCTTTTATAATACTTGTTTTTTTTGGTTAATCCTTTTTTTTAATCATCTTGTATAATCTTCTATTATCTTTGTCATCAGTTTTTTGCTTGATCAGTTTTTGTTTATAATATTTCATCATCTTTTATTATTTACTATTAGAGCTTTGGATGTTGGCCCATGTTTTTGTATCATTTTTAATTTTCGTGCTTGTTTTTTTTTGGTGATTTTTTAGTTTTAGTAAAGAAGAAAACTTCAACCTTAAACCTTAGACCCTAAAACCAGATACCCCTAAACCCCTAAGCCCCTTGTGTCTAAAACAAAAAACCCAAATATGTGCAACATACGAAAAAAAACAAACAAAGAACACAGTAACAAAACCCTAGTGTTCTGTCTAAACAATAAGAGATTTACTTTAAAAATATGTTCAGAAATGATGCCTCAAAAAAAAGCTTGGAATGTTCAGTTTGCAGACTTAACAAAAACCGATTAGCAAGAAAGCAGCGCAGCCACATACCCGCAGCAAGGAACATATGAACGTATAATCCTTATTACTTTCTTCGTGTGGTTTTATTCTTTCGCAGTCTTTGCTTATTGGGTTTTTATCGGTTTTCTTAATAGGCCAGCGCTGGAATTTAACCCACGCGTGCTCGGAGGCTTCAGCTGGTATACGCAAAGCAGATCGACTCGGTATTCCTTGCATGTTTAGCATCCGGCCTCTAACAATCAGACAACGCATTGCATGAATGCGCGCAATGCAGCTCAGATTTATAAGGCAACGCTGAGATTGTGAGCCTTGCGCATATGCTGCCGCATTCAAGTTTCTGCTATCCCACGACAGTCCTTCCTTGAACTATCTCTTTGTTTCGCCATGCCGCTGTCAAGCTTGGATGCAACCCAGCGAGCCCTTCGCGTCGCGCGTGCACAGTACAGCCGCGGGAAAGGTGACCTTCGTGAGTTGCTGCGTAAGCGACAGGCCACGGTAAAGAAGCAAAAGACCACCTTGAGGCAATTGGAAGACAAGGTTCGGGAAATGGACGGCGTTTTGTCCGAAGAGTGTTCTTCTTCATCCTCATTGCTGGGAAGTTCATCGTCTGACAGTGAGAGTGAGACTGACTCGGCAAGCTTTAAGGGCACACCTCCTAAGGAGAAAGCCTCGCCTGGGTTGAAGCCTCCTGAGGAGGAAGCAGTCCCGCAGGCCAAAACTAAAGCGAAAGCCAAAGCCAAAGCTCCACCGGTATCTCCGAAGGAGAAATCGATTGCTAAGGCGCCTCGTCGGTCCAAACAGAATTTTCCTGAGATCCCTCCCGGAGAACCCGCGCCCAACCACAAGGGTAAACCTAACGCTGAAGGCGTACTCTACCCTGGATTTGCAAGGAAGGACCCTCGTCGTTGCGACTCGTGTGAGCAACTTCGGCGAGGGTTTGCCAGCTCGTCCAAGAAGCATAACCCAAACTGCGCGTGGAAGGTGCGAGGGTGAGCTTTGGAGCAACAGCGCACGGTGCCAAAATAAAGCATGGAATGTGCTTCAGCGACAACAGCATAGAGGTAAGTCTGTACCAAGTCACTCTAATAAGCATAGCCTTCCCTGCCATAGTGTTAACTCAAGACAGCGTGCAGTTTACTTCATATGTTTGCATGCACTCTTTCCAAACATAAGCAGTGCTCGGTATTCCACGCCAGGTCTCATCTGATTGCAGACCAAGATCTCCCAGCGCTTAAAGAACAAGGCGTGGTTGACAGAATTCCTACAGTGTTCCGACAGTGTCTACTGATTTAGTATTTCTACAGGGTTGCTAGTGCCGGAATTCTTGAGGGCTTCGCCGCAGCAGGGTCCAGTTGTACAAAAGTAAACAACACAGAGACTCAGAGGCCACGGGTCACCCGTAAAGCAGCCCAGAATGCATACAAGCAGCGTCCATCAACATAATCAAATTCACAGCAGGCTGTTGGAGCGGCAGCTTCCGTTAGTAAATGCATCCACAACACA